TTCAAGTTAGTCCAGAGATCGCCAGAGAGCTTAAGATAACTTTATTTAAAATTCTGGAATTTCAAAGAAGCCTAGAGAACATAAGGAAAGTTCAAAGGATGGTCAGGCTATTTCCATTTATTTCCGGACAGCACCAAGAACTTCGGTAGACTTCAGAAAATTTTCGGGATGCTCCGAAATCATTTAGAAAAATCAAAGTGTCATGGAGAATTATGAGATATTCCGAGAATTTAGGAAACTTCAGGAATATGCAGAGCAGTTCAGAAAACATTTGAATTTTTTAGGCAAAGTTCTATGAGCTTTTAAAACTTAAGGAAAACTACGAGAACTTCAAGGAATCCGAAGGAACTTCAATTCAATGCAATTGACTTCAGTTCAATCAGTTTGAAGGAAATTGCATTAACTTTAAAGAAGTTCCAGGAATCTCTGAGCTTCATTATTTTTGACGTAGGACTACGTCTACGATTTCTATATGGGGTACACTTTGTGAAAACCGAAAATGGAACATGTAGCAAAATTATGAAAGATTTTGAACGCTATTAACTCAGCTGCCCCTGGATCAATTTCAATAATTTTATCACCAATCGATTAGATATATTTCAACGCATCTGTTAAATTTTAGACTTTATCATTTGTCAAAATGTCACTATTGAAAATTGCACGAATGTGCAACTGTTGCTTTGATAATTAAAATTATCACCGATTGCCTGCGAAAAGCGATTTCCCTAACACGGATTTCAAAGTTGAATTCCATTCGGTCTCACCAAACGGTGTTTATTCAATCACCGCGTGGTGAGTGGTGGTGTTCTCCAGTACACAACAAAAAGCTCCCCGCAAGCAGCGAGCTGCAGCCCACATGAGCATCCATAGAAGGAGGAAGAAGCCGCACCGCTATTGATTGAAATCAGTAGCTCTTCATGAGTTGCTATGGAACATCTATGTCAAGCGCGTCATACTAAAGAGTATCAACAGAGTGAAACCCGCTCAAATTCCTATTCCTACACAAAACACAAGCTCCTGCTGCAGTTAACAAATAATATTTACTATATAAGACCACGTAGTCCTACGCCACCATTTTGCGTACCACCCCATAGGGTTGTCCCTTGTAGTTTTTTTTAAAGAATCATGAACATCAGGAAATTGTAAGTAGGTTCAAATGGAATTCCTTAGTTTCAAAAATAGCAGGAACCTCAGCGAAGATCAGTGAACTTCTGAAACGTTTGGAGATTTTCAGTAAGATTTATTACATGCAGGGAAGTTCCGAGCACTTCAAGGACGATCAGAGATTTTCAGAGCAGTTCCATTAATTTAAGGAAAATTGCAGGAAGTTTCATGGAGTTCCTAGGAGTTTTCCGAGAATTTAGAAAACTTCATGGATGTCCAGAGAAATTCTGGAAAAATTGGAATTTTTAGGCGAAGTTCCATAAGTTTTTAAATCTTATAGAAAGTTACTGGTTTTTCATGGAATAAATACCAAGGAACTTCAAGGCAATTAAATTAACATCAGGAAAATTACGAGGACTTTTAACATATATAGATAAATTGAGGGAAGTCTAGAGCACTTGAGGAAAGTCCAGAGATCTTTGTGGTAGTGTCAATAACATAAGAAAGGCACATTAAAAATCAGGAAAGTTGCTCTTTGGGAAATTTTAAAATGATGATGAATTTGTTTTCATAATTTTAGAAAAATTATGAGAACTAAAGTGAATATCTTAGAACGACATTTATTTTTTCGTTACATTTTCAGGTAAATTGCGGTGACTTTCAGAAGTTTAAAATTTTCAAATGAATTCCCTGGAAATTCCAGGGAATTCAATGAAATTATGGAAATGTGGGAACTTCATCGAATTTCAGAGAACGTCGGGAAAGATCAGGAACATGCGAAATATTTTAATTGTTGTTTTGAGAATTGAGAGAACGTAACGGAAGATCATTGCAAATCAAATAATTAAAAAAAAAATAGTGGGGCATTTTAAGAAGATCTCTGATTTTCAAGACGTCCAAAGAGTTTCAGAGATGTTTAAAAAGCTTGAATTTTTTTGAATACTTCACAGAAGTTCAGAGAACTCAGAAGAACGAGAATTACTAGAACTTTGGAGAAGTTCCGAGAATTTCAGGGAAGATCAGAGAACCTTAGGACAATTCCATGCATTTCAGGTAAATTCTAAAAAAAATCAAAGAAGTTTCTAGAACGTCATGGAAATTTTTAAGAATTCAGGGTGATCCAAGCATTCCAGAAAAAACCAAGAACTTCAAAGTCCAGAGAAGTTCAGAGAATTTTTTAAGATTTTCATGAATTTCAGAGAAATTCCAAAAAAATTAATAAAGTTTCTAGAATTTCATGGAAATTGTTAAGACATCAGGATGATCCTAGAATTCCTGAAAAAATCAGGAACCTCAAAGATGATAGATGGCCGTTTGGGAAATTGAGGTAAGTCCAGAGAAGTTCAGAGAAATTTTTAAGATTTGAGAAGTTCCGAGAACTTCAGGGAAGATCAGAGAACCTTAGGATAATTCCATGAATTTTAGGGAAATTCCTAAAAATTAAAGAAGTTTCTAGAACTTCATGGAAATGGTTAAGACATCAGGATGATCCTATAATTCCTGAAAAAATCAGGAACCTCAAAGATGGCCGTTTGGAAAATTGAGCTAAGTCCAGAGAAGTTCAGAGAAATTTTCAAGATTTGAGAAGTTTCGAGAACTTTTGGGAAGATCAGAGAACCTTAGGACATTTCCATGAATTTTAGGGAAAAAAATTAAAGAAAATTCTAAAACTTCATGAACATTTTTAAGACTCCAGGATGATCCAAGAATTCCTGAAAAAAATCAGGAATTTCAAAGATGATACATGACCGTTTGGGAAATTGAGGTAAGACCAGAGAAGTTCAGAGAAATTTTCAAGATTTGGGAAGTTCCGAGTACTTCAGGGAAGATCAGAAAACCTTAGGATAATTCCATGAATTTTAGGGAAATTCCTAAAAAATAAAGAAGTTTCTAGAACTTCATGGACATTTTTAAGACTCCAGGATGATCCAAGAATTCCTGAAAAAAATCAGGAACCTCAAAGATGATAGATGGCTGTTTGGGAAATTGAGGTAATTCCAGAGAAGTTCAGAGAAATTTTTAAGATTTGAGAAGTTCCGAGAACTTCAGGGAAGATCAGAGAACCTTAGGACAGTTCCATGAATTTCAGGGAAATTAAAAAAAAATTAAAGAAGTTTCAAGAACTTCATGAATATTTTTAAGACTTCAGGATGATCCTAGAATTCCTGAAAACATCAGGAACCTCAAAAATGATACATGACCGTTTGGAAAATTGAGGTAAGTCCAGAGAAATTCAGAGAAATTTTTAAGATTTGAGAAGTTCCGAGAACTTCAGGGAAGATCAGAGAACCTTAAGATAATTCCATAAATTTCAGGGAAATTCCAAAAAAATCAAAGAAGTTTCTAGAACTTTATGAAAATTTTTAAGACTTCAGGAACATTCAAGAATTCCAGAAAAAAATCAGGAACTTCAAAGATGATACAGGACTGTTTGGAAAATTGAGAGAAGTCCAGAGAAGTTCAGAGAAATTTTTAAGATTTGGGAAGTTTCGAGAACTTCAGGGAAGATCAGAGAACCTTAGGACAACTTCATGAATTTCAGGGGAAAAAAAATTAAGAAAATTCTAGAACTTCATGGAAATTGTTAAGGATTCTAGGATGATCCTAGAATTCCTGAAAAAAATCAGGAACCTCAAAGATGATACATGACCGTTTGGGAAATTGAGGGAAGTCCAGATGAGTTCTGAGATTTTTTTAAGATTTGGGAAGTTCCAAGAACTTCAAGGAAGATCAGAGAACCTTAAGATAAATCAAAGAGTTTTAGGGAAATTCCAAAAAAATTAAAGAAGTTTCTAGAACTTTATGGAAATGGTTAAGACATCAGAATGATTCTACAATTCCTGAAAAAAATCAGGAACCTCAAAGATGATAGATGGCCGTTTGGGAAATTGAGGTAAGTCCAGAGAAGTTCAGAGAAATTTTTAAGATTTGAGAAGTTCCGAGAGCTTCAGGGAAGATCAGAGAACCTTAGGAAAATTCCATGAATTTCAGGGAAATTCCAAAAAAATTAAAGAAGTTTCTAGAACTCCATGGACATTTTTAAGACTCCAGGACGATCCTAGAATTCCTGAAAAAAATCAGGAACTTCAAAGATGATACATGACCGTTTGGGAAATTGAGGTAAGTCCAGATAAGTTCTGGGACATTTTTAAGATTTAGGAAGTTCCGAGAACATCAGTGATGATCAGAAAACCTTAGAAAAATTTCATGAATTTCAGGGAAATTCCAAAAAAATTAAAGAAGCTTCTAGAATTTCATGGAAATTTTTAAGACGTCAGGATGATCCTAGAATTCCAGAAAAAAATCAGGAAATTCAACGATGACACATGACCGTTTGGAAAATTGAGGGAAGTCCAGAGAGGTTCAGATAAATTTTTAAAATTTTAAGGGAAGTACCGTGAGCATAAGTTTTTTAAACTTTGGTAGAACTTCGAAACATTTCCACTAACTTCCGGAAAATTGTGTAGCTTTTAAGAAGTTTGGAGGACTTCCAGTGAACTTCATGGAAGTCTAGAGAATGTAAGGGAATTTCGCAAATATTTATAGACTTTTATGGCAGTCACGTGAACTTCAGCACAGTCCCGAGAACTACGTCGCAGAAAGTTTTATGGCGAGCTGAATGCAGACAAGTTTTACTCATATCTTAGAGTAGATTTAAGTTTACTACATTGTACGTTCATGAAGATATACAAATTCTTAAATTATAAATAAGAGCACTTCTCAATGTAGGCGCATGGCTTTGAGGAGGACGGGCCGCACTCATCTTAGAAATCAGTGAGTAACCAGCTCGCAATTCCCCACATAAGCCGCAAAATTCTTCCATCCAATTTCCAACAAAATCATTTCAAAATCGTCTCCTTCCCAAACACGACGACATAACTCACACTTAAACTCACCTTTCCATTGGTCACCAGCAGGGCATTGATCGAGGTCAGCTTGATGGTGCGACTTTTCTTCCAATTGCCATCGTTCGGCTGCGTAAACAACAGCCTCCCTTCGATGGCAAACCGAACCTCCTCGGTGTTCCACTCCAGCACATCGATGGCAATCTTCCGCAGCTTGATGTTGATCATATCGAGCTCGCAGGACAATCGGCGTCCACCCGGGTTCGACGAGGATATCCTGCGCCAGAGCTTGGTCGGAACGTCCTTCGCTTCCCGATTCATGTGATTCAGATGCAGTTCGATCTTTTCCTGCGCTTGCTTCAGTTGCTCCTTGCCTTCCAGGTGCGGGGGAGTGACCTTGAACAGACGGGCCAGCAGCAGCGGGTACTTGGTGACGCGCTGGACGGGTACCTAAAACAGGAAAATCGATATTAAGCAACGTTTATCATTTGCCCACAACCAAACAGTTTTCAAACCATCAAAAACGAATTCAGATTCATCCGTCTCAGCACGGCGTTCTCCATCTGCGACACCCGCAGGAAGATCCGCAACAGTTCCTTCTCCTTCTCCAGGTTGGCCAGTAGCAGACTGGCACTTCCCTGACGGACGCAATAGCTCTCGAAAGCATGCAGCATCGGAGCCGCCTCCAGAAAGACCTTCCCCACGTTGACCGTCACCAGATCCTCGTCGCCCTGCTCGGTGGCAATGTCCAGTGCATCCCGCATACGCTCCGCCAGAAATTGATTGTTCTCGAGCAATTCTTCCACGTTCAAAAAGATTGCAGAGAGTTGATCTTGATTGAGCAGCCCGGCCACGAGCATCGGCTGGTAGAACTCCTCCAGGATGATCTGCAGATCGCGACCGTACTTTTCCTCCGTTTCGACGATTTCGGTGATGATCTCCTTGCGTTCGGCTCGCTTCTTCCCGCACTTGCGGCAGACCAGCGGAGCGTACATGACTCCGGATTCGGTGATTTGCGTTTCCACTGGACCGTCGCAGTCCTCGCACAGGTGAATGGGACTGATCTTGTCCATCAGGGATGAGGAAGGATGCTGCCACTTGCTGCGAGAAGTTTTACTAGTTTCCGATCCCACTCCGGAGTCGTTCCGTTCGATCTCCGAAGCTTTGCGCTGGGCAAGGCTCGCTGATAGGAGCGAGGTGTCTTCGCTGGAGTCGCTGATGTTGGACATGTGCGACAGGCGGCTGCTGATGTCGGATATTTGTCGCTGATGGTGTCGAAGGTCCGTGATGTTTTCGTCCTCTTCCTCTTCCAGGATGATGTCACTGGCATTGCCGAACTGGAAGCTGTACGCTTCTTCCTGAGCGATTCCACGCTCTCTTGCATCAACCAAGTAGGATAGGATGTCGTACTTGGATGCTCCTTCGAAGATCGATCTAGCATTGCGCTTTTCGCGGTCCAGATCGTCCACCATCGGTGGGGCAGTAAGCGGAAGAGGAGGCGGAATGTCACTAATCTCCTCATAGATAGGATCGCTGTTCAGCCGAATCGATTCGTAATGGTGATCATCTTCATTGGCCGTGCTGAGCTCGATCTCACTCAGCGTAGCATCCACCAACATCTGGTAGAACTTACTCCTGGACAAGTTGGCGTCGTCGTCCGTTGTCAGGTCACTGGAACAGCTTTGATAACAGTCGCTAAGATCTCCAGCAGGGTCAAATTCCATCAGCTCGTACGTTGCCGATCCATAGCTGTTTCCCGAGCTAATACTGCTGCGCTTGCTATCCTTTTCTAATTTCTTCGCCTCCATTTTGTTCCGTTCGTCCTGGATCTTGATCAGCGATTCCTCGATCATCTTGGACACATCGTCCTGGTCTTTGGTTCCACTCATGTCCAGCTGATTGCGACTATCCTTCAACCGAAGCAGTGAATTTTCGATCAGCTTCGTCACCAGATCGTAGTCCAGCCCTTCGGCCAGGTGACCCAACATCGGATCCTCCAGCAACTTCGTAATAAAGCTGTTCCGTTGAGCCTTAAGATGCGTTTCTACGTTCTTCTGGCGGCGAACCACTCCGTCACTACCGGAGGCATCCGGTACCTTGAGTTCGGCAGCTGCTTCCTTAACCTTGCCGCAGAAGTGCGGGACCAGATTGCGCTTGACCGCCTCGACCGGGTTGCGCAGGAGCATCTCGAAACTATCGCTACTATCTTTGGAATTTGCTTCGTTAGGAACTATCGAAATTGTGTCTCTTTCGTTGACTGGGGTCGAAGGTGATGATGATGATGGTGTTGATGTTGAGGGGTGCACTTCTGGCGTCACAGTTGGTGGTTGTTGATCATCCTCGTCGACGGAGCTCTCCGGTCCCGTTGAATCACGTAAACTGGACATTTTGCGATCAAAGTCCAAACTGATGAACGTCTTTCCGGTGGATCTCGTCAGAGTCGTTGGCTCGGCAGCTTCCACCGGGTTCATGACCGTTACAGATGTGGGTCCCCCGATCGGTATGATCGAGGTCGAGTTTGATCCGTTAAGAAAGGTGTTCTTCTGATTGTTCAACTCTTCCTGATAGGATCTGTTCGAGGCGGTCTTGTTACGAGGATGTTGCAGTGTCGATGTTGGTGAATTGACACTGATCGTAACCGTGTTGAATGATGTTTGAAGGATTCCTGGAGTTATGAATACGTCGTTGACGACTACGGATGACTGATACAGAGGTGTTTCATTGTCATCGTCCATGTTGACCGTAGAGTAGCAATCATCTCCGGTGATCAAAATCGAAGTCTTCTTCTGGCCCATAGACTCGTAGCTGCTGTCTTCGTCTTCGTGGCGAATCTCCAGTCGGTGGACGGCGTCCTTACTGAACGTCGGTGGAATGGGTGTTGACACCTGGACTACGGTCCTCGAAGCCGTTGAACTACGTCCACTGCTCCGCTCTGACCCGGAGCTCAAATCAAAGCAAAAATCCTCGTACACATTGGCGTCTACATTATCGGCGATCTTCCCTCGGATTTTCTCCACCATATCCGTATCGCTACTCGTGATCGACTGTTGATCGGGCGAAGACGATCCAGTTGAGCTGGCTGGAGGTGGTGGTGGCGGAGGTGGAACCCGTGGTCTCATCCTCCCATTGGTCAACGTACCACCGGAACTGCCAGTGGATGAGCTGTACGACGACGAAGACAGGGTTTCCTCGTCGAAAGCGGCCCTCGCGTCACCTCGCGCATGTTTTCCTCGCAAAGCCATGGTGTCGAGAAAGTTGGACTTATGTCGATGCTGCAGATCGCTGGCCCCGTTGAAGGAGGTCACCCGTGGTGGAGAGGTTCGTTCGCTGAAGCTTCGACGTAACGGTCCGGTTCGGCGACGCAAACTCCATGGTGACAGATCTGGAACGATGGAAAAAAAAAGAGTACGGTTTTAGAATAACTAGTTCAAGTTCAGTGGCGAATGGCAGGGGGCAATCAATCATTCAAGATGCCCAAGTGCGAGAAACGTGCGAGAAACGTGCGAGACGCGATGGCAATTTGTGGTGATTAGAGCTGTCCATCATTGGTGGCAGACTTTTTTCTGTCTCAGCCGATTTGCATTCGCGAGGAAGGTGACATATTGGTGAATGGGGTAAAAAATTAAGAAGCAGACATAAGTGTTGCTGGGCTGGGGAGTCAGTGCGATGCTACTAAGCTGATGCTGTCGGGTAAATGGAAGGTAATTTTTGCAGTCTTGAAGACTGCTTATTGCGTTTTGTGCTGTGAGGTGCAAAGCGTTCGTAGCAATAATTATAATAATAATAACAGATGCGATGAGCACATTTAACTTCGCTTTTCACTCTTCAGACAGCAGCTCAACCAACTGTCTTTTTCAGGACTAGGTGTTAATTCCAAGGCGAGGAGTTGGGGTGCTTCGAGGCAAGGATCGCCAGACCATCTCCTGTGTCCGTTGGTAGTTGGTATAAACAATGAAATTGTTCACAAGCTTTTGCCCACATTGCTGATTTATTGCGCTTAAATTTACATGAAACATCTTGTAAATTTACGCCAAATCAAGCGTTAACTACGTGTGCGCTAGGGTAGGTTAATAGGAACGAATAGGCATAACTGGTACATCTACCCTATACATATATCGACTTATTGGACACCGTTGACATTGAGTCAGCCGCTCAAACTATTTCCAATGTCTTGGCATATGTCATTGACAGACACGTTCCGAAAAAGATTCATCATCTTACGACCAATCCACCATGGCATACGAGCGAATTTCGTCGATTGGAATCCAGAAAGAGAGCCGCTCTTAAGAAATTCACCAAGCACCGCACACTATACCTTTAACGTCACTATGTTAGGATCAATCACGAATACAAACAAGTTGCGAAACGTGCTTTCTTCAGTATTGACGTGATTTGCAGAGAAAGCTTAAGTCACGTCCCAAGCAGTTTTGGAAGTTTGTCAACGAACAATGTCATGAAGCTGGTCTGCCGTCGTCTATGATACATAATGGTAACGGGGCCTCATCTACGCAAGATATCTGTCAGATGTTCTCTGAAAAATTTGCTAGTACCTTCACGGACGAGAGACTGAGGACGACCTTGTCCGACTGGCTGCCAGTTACGTACCGCTCTCTGGCCAAGCCATGAGCAGAATTGATATCAGTCCCGAGATGACTTCCTCTAAACTCAAGTACAATCCGGGTCCTGACGGAATTCCATCGGAGTTCATCTAAACGCACTTGGACAGTTTGTGGTCTCCACTGCTGCACGTTTCCAACGGTCCATGGACGTCGGCGTTTTCCCATCCTATTGGAAGCTAGCGCACATGTTTCCAGTACACAAGTAGGGCAACAAACAGGACGTTGGCTACTACCGTGGCATCACTTCGCTTAGTACTGTTGCTAAATTGTTCGAGCTCGTTGTTATGGAACCGTTACTTGCTCACTGTAAGCCGTATATTAGTAGGCATGGTTTCATGGCTGGTCGCTCCTCTGCCACTAACTTGCAGTGCCTTACTTCCTACATCTCGGATCGTGCTCAGACGGATGTCATTTATACTGAATTTGAATCACCGCATATCAACCGCAAAACTGGACAGGCTCGGTATCCACGGCTGCCTTTTGCAGTGGTTTCAGTCGTACCTCACCGATCGCTATCTTACTGTTGTCATTGGTGATCACCAGTCCCGTATGTTCGCTGCCACGTCCAGCATACCCCAGGGTAGTCACCTGGGACCACTGATTTTCCTGATTTACTTCAACGACGTGAATCTGGTAATTGAGGGACCATGATTAAACTCTTCCTTCGAATTCACTCAATTGAAGAATGTTGCTTCCTTCAACGTCTACTGAATGCTTTTGCTGATTGGTATTCTGAATCGTATGGAGGTTAACCCGTCCAACTGCTCGGTTATCTCTTTTTCGCGCAAGAAAGAGACTATTATGTTCAAGTATGTTTTGTTAGGCACTGAAATTGAGCGCGTCAGCCAAATTAAGGACCTAGGTGTGATTATGGATACACAAATTTCTTTCAAGCAGCACATCTCGTATGCCGTCGACAAAGCTTCCAGGCTTCTAGGGTTTATCTTCAGGATTGCCAAAGACTTCACGGATATCTACTGCCTTAAACCGTTGTACTGCTCCTTGCCTCGCTCCATATTAGAATACTGCTCGGTTGTCTGGACTCCTCACTACAACAACGGTGTCGAAAGAGTTGAGTCTGTTCAGCGACGGTTCCTGAGATATGCGATACGTAAACTGCCGTGGACGGATCCCTTCCGATTGCCAAGCTACGAAAGTCGTTTGCAACTGTTCCATCTGGAGCCCCTGTCGGTCTGGAGAGATACAGCAAGGCCATTGCTAATTGCAGATATTTTGCAAGAACGCACCGATTGCCCTGTTCTCCTTGAGCAAGTTGACATCAATGTTCAACCCCGAACCCTACGGAACATTTTAATGCTGCGCCTGCCCATACAGCGAACTAAGCATTTTGAGTGCAATCGGTGGTTTACAGAGACTCTTCAATAGGGACTCCGCACTGTTTGACTTTGACCTGACTCGACAGCTGCTTCGCTGGAGGTTTAGTTCGTTTTTTTCAAGATCAGTTTAGTTTGTCCAGTAATGTTCCTTTTTGTCATACTTGGACAAATTTTAAAAATCTTGATTCAATCACATTATCATAAAGATCATGATCAAAACATTTCAAAATCCTGCCTCTGCAAGAAGCCATCCAGATAGTTAACTATGAAAAAATATCGGCGGAGTAAACAAAATACAATTCGGCAGCAGGGATTCGTGCCTAAATTATCTTGCAACACTTGCCAGAAGCTAGTATCACAGACAAACAGACAAAACATTAATAATTTGTTCATCGAACAAGCATTTAACGGTCAATTTGAAAGTATCTCAGTTGGTAGTACTGCCACCTGTGGCGCGCATAGTAAATTCCCTTGCGTTTGACGTTTAATGGCTTAGCGACGATGTTTTACAATGAGAAATATCCAATGTGTTATGTCTGTTTGTCTGTGCTGGTATTTCACATGACTTTTATTTTTGATTCGACAACGAAGTTAAATTAATCAATAGAGTTACAATATTGTTTTTGATTCCAAGTTGAATTTGAGAAGCGCACGAAACATAAAGGTGATTAAATTGCTGTTCATTTGCAATACTCTTAAATTTAATCTAGCATGAATGAGAAATCCTCGGAAAAAAATCTAATGGGAATGTTCGATTGGCTCAGATTTTGACAGTTCATTTGGCTCAAAACATTCTCTTCGCCCATCTCTCCCTCTGAGTATTTCTACTAAATACTAGACCTGCACACTTAATTTATTTTGGATAATGTCGGCAATTTTTACCGAGATTTTCACAGTCGAGATCTCAGCAAAAGTGGCATTTGGTTGCTGAGTCTCGGAAAATGTTTTGCCGAGGGCTCGGCTGTGCAAATTTCGGCAAAGAATAGCCGAGAGGGCGAAAAAAAACTAAGTGTGTGGATAAACTTTCAAAATAAATTGGAACTAAAATAGGTTAAGGCTGCAATCCAATTCCCGATTTTTTCACGTTTTTTTTCCCGATTAGTCGACAATATGTTCAAAATTTGAATTAGAATTGACGATTGGATTGAAATTTTCAATTTTTTTTGTTCATTTATTTATTTGATAAGGCTCAATCGAATCAACTCTACAGAGCCGAGGATTCTTGTTCACTATACAAAACATCTTAAAATTATAGTCAAAAGGTACAACACAATAAACACTTTATCTTCCGCTATCCAAAAAGCCTCCTCTATCAGAATGGGAGCCGCTTCCAGTGGTTTCATTGTATGGCAGTATCGCCAACGGAGGCAGAGCGCTTCAATTGCAGCAATGGACGCAAAACGTGGTCAGCACTCACACACTCATCACGAAACGGTTGCTTTACAAAGTAGACGACGCATCGACCGAAAGAACTGCTTATGAAGAACAATGAGGAGGACCAGACAATGTTTGCTACCGAGTAAACAGCCGAGTGAACACATGAATTTTTCATGGCAGCTAAAATTTGAAAAAAAAATATTATTTTGGGGGAAAAATTAAGCTTTAGAGCAGTTTGACGCCAAATGCCAAATAGGAAAAATTTGGTTATCACGTTTATTCCTACCTAAAGGCCCACGTTGCCGGAAGCATTTCCAGGCGATGCACAGTGGGCAAAAGCTGACCCAGAATCTCACTCAGTTCGTGCCGCTGGTTCCAGGAGGTTTGAGATACCTATTCTTATGTGAAACAATCCGGGGAATCGAATTTGGCTGGTTTTAACCTGTGGAAACTGCTCCAGTTTCACCCGCTTCTTACCATTTTATGGTGAAATTATTATTTGGCTTTATATGTGATTGCCGGTTATCTACAGCAAACATAAATGCAAAATATTATATAAAAGGAAGCCAAGGACATCAATTAAAACCTATTTCAAACTGTGCAGTGTTAATAGCTAGCCCATTTCACCCCATTTTCCCCAAATTTGTTATTTATGGGTTGTTATCAACAGTTTGGAAAACTGCCTCTGTACTTTCTTCTTCTTTCCTTTATTTAACGTCGGTCTCTGTTCCGCAATCTAGTGCCAATCACCGACGGACATCGATTGCCATCCATTGACGACAATCGAATGTGCAGGAAAGCAGCTTCCACACCTGCGTAGGATATCGCACCCATTCAAACACACATGGGCCGGGACCAACGGCTTTACTTCCCTTCCGAAGAGATTTTTATGCCTCAGAAAAATCCCACTGACCTCGGCTGGGATTGACCCCAGACCCATTGGGGTGAGAAAGCAGTCACGCTCTCTGTACTTTCAGTTCGATTAGAAATGCCGTTTACACGGTAGAGTTTTTGAAAAATTTCATAGGACGCCATTTTGAAATATTTAC